AAGTGGCAACCTGAAATAGGCCTCAAATACCACCCAGCAAGTTCTGCTGTATTGTACTGCTCTCTCCTCCCGGAATTCCTCACTTCTCTTTTCTCACAAATGACCGAACACATCACACCTCTTCATCACTCCTTTAAGAAATACTCTACGTTATTGTAAAAGACTATAAAGTATTGCTTAGGGGATCCAACCGACTTCTGTTAATTACTTCATGATTTTTTAAAAGCGCTTACTTTAAAGAAAATGATGGCAAAGCCTTTCGTGGTTAAGGATTTCTTGGGAAACCAGTGACTGGCCCAAACTGAGATGCCAACCCCTGACACTGTTAATGACACTCTGCTATGCTTGCAGACAGGAGCCTAGCATAGTTGCCTTTAAGAGGCCTCATCCAGCAGCTGATGGAAACAGATTCGGAGTCCCACAGCCAAACAACAGGCCGACCTCAGGGAGCCCTGGAGAAGAGTGGGAGGAAGGATAGAGGAAACGGAAGGGGTCAAGAGCATCACAAGAAGACCTACAGAGTCAACCAACCTGGGCCCATGGGAGCTCACAGAGACAGAACCACCAACCAAAGAGCATGTAAATATACACGCCCTGTACATATGCTGCAGATGTGCAGCGCGGTCATCAGGTGGGTCCCCTAACAAAGGGAGGAGAGGCAAGCCTTTGCATCCCCTTCCTCTAGCTGGAATTGTCTGTAGGCGGCGTTGTCTGTAGGTGGATGCATTTAGTCCTGCTGCGACTTGAGCATCCACGGGTACTGTTAGTATACCTAAGGGGACTCCCCTTCTCTGAGAAGAACTAGTGGGGGGAGGAGCGTGAGGGTGGGACTGGGAGGAGAGGAGGGACGGGGCTGCGATCAGGCTGTAAAGTGATTAAATAATAAAATTATATATATATATATATATATTTCTTATATACGTATTTCTTAGCCTAGGACCAGGTCTGATTTTAAAATGTGGTTAGTAACTGTTTTCTCTCTTTTCTAGAGTGTGGCCCTCTCTTTCTCCACAGGAGTCCCTGGGTGTCCCCCAAGCTACCTTTAACAAAGGCAAGGCCTCAGCTAGTCAACTGAAGTTAATGGCTACCTGCCCAGGCATGTTTTACTTGCAACTATCGCTGTAACTGCAGAGGGTCCTACTGCTCACTGCCTTGCTAATGGCAAGCATTTCCTCGTCACTCAGAAGGTGGATGTCCAGCTTTTCAGGAGGAAACTCTTCTCTCGGTACTATAAGGTCACAATGCGTGAGAGACTGCCCGTAGTTTTTACAGGCAAGGTTGAGTCAAGCCTGGTGTTTGTATGATTGTCTCGCTTTTCCTTAGGACCACTTAAAACTACCCAAAGAATGAGGAAAAAGGATACCGCAGTGAGTAAACAATACTTCCACCTAAGTATTCTGTTGTTTAAAATGCAGAGCAATTGATCTTACATAAAAGAAGCCCAGGGCTTTCAATAGTCAAATTAAAAATGCACTAATAAAGAGGTAATTTAATATGCAATTTCATGAATTAATAATTAGCTGAGCAGTACTGAACTGCTAGATAAAAAGCTACGGGAACATAACTAATGAACTATCAATGCCAAAATAGACGTTATAATAAAGCGAGACTTTAATAAATCATTTATTAAATGGCTACAAATGAACTATTTTGTTAATATCTAACAGGTAACTACTGTCTACTTAATTCATAGATAGAAACTAGAAACTAGGGTCTTGAAGACAATTAACTTTACGGTCACTGAGGGTCAAGGCTTGTCAATGAGTCACCGCTCTCTGTACCTTTTAGAGCTGTTGCTGGTCTAGGCTAAGCTTTTCCGTGTATTCTTAGAGCAGCTACTGTTCCACACGGGAACAGATGAAGTTTAACATAAACTGCAATAGGCTAGCTGCAGGCCACCAACATCCTAAAAGTCAACGCTCCCAATTGCAAGCAAGGAGGAGGAGTAACCTCGAAGGACACTGCTTGGTACTGAGGGTAGGGGCTGACTGATGGCTGCAGACTAAGGTCATTTTGAACTTCCAGAGCTCATTCAGATCCCCACGTAAATCTTGCATATCTGAATCTCACTGGAGATTGCAAAAGGAGCAAAGGTAGTCACCGTGCGGAAAAGTAGTGTGATAGTATTGATTGTCTCCAGAAAGAAAATGCGTGTTTTTGTGGAAGCCAGAGGTTGCCCACTGGGAGAAGGAAAAAAAAAAAAAGCCTTCTAATAAATCAAAATTAAAGCTTCGTTGAACTACATAGGACAGGGCAGAATGTCCTTTATTCTTTCAGTGCTAATTCACATAAGCTGTGCGTTTACAAATTCCTGCGATTTCATGGATGGTTCCAGGTATATTTTACCAAATATTATCTATATCTGAAGAGAAGAAAAGGCGAAAAGGTAAGGGGAAGAAAAATCTATATCCATAACTTCCCATTAATGGCTTTTATCCTTTACAGCTTATATCTTTTAAACGATAGAAAAATGATTAACAAACACGCGTGTGCATAAGCTAGGAAGTGCCAGGGAGGGAAGGACATGCTAGACCTAGGAACGGATGAAGGCAGACGCAAGCCTGGATGACGTTTTGAAAGTGAGCTTGAGAGTCATACTCAACAGGGAACCTTAACTAAAAAAGGAGAACGAGAAAGAATCAATGATAAATAAGACTGCTTCTTCACCTGGAGAGTTCCAGCCAAGTGAGACTATTAAAGAAACCAGAGTGGCGCTGCGTTGGTCGGTGCGCTGCGAGATTTTTCACATCGCAGCTGAGGGTTATTCACCGAGTGCCTGCGAGTTGAAATATCATTCCTTTTTATTAGCACCACCGGCGAGAGGCGAGCCTCGGTTAATGAGAAGAACAACAAAGCTGCGCTCCAGGTTAGTTTTTGTTAACAGGATGCACAACTGTTAAACGCATTACTCTTCCTGCTTATCAGTGAGATAAGCAGTTGCCCCGCCCCCAACTCAGCCATTCACAGAACTATGCCAGCCCATTGATGACTCACTAATGGTACCACTTTAGGGTGGAAGGGAAGTTTTCCAGCTGCTTCCCTCAGGAACGGCTTTACCCACGGATAGGATGGATAGGATGGACTGTCTTCTAAGGAGCTACTTTGCTTCTGAAATTCCATCCACTCAAAATTACTACAAGAGGAATAAAAGGGATCTATCTTATCTTCCTCAAATTTATTTTAAATCTCGTCACCATACCACATGACTTCAAGGAATGCCGACTCTCTTGTTGACAGTTTGGGAGGCTTTTGTGTTATACAGTATCACTAAAATTAAACACGTTTCTGATGATTTAACTCGACATATTTCATAAATCTTTGTCAAGACAATTACTGTCAACTACAATGCAATTATCCGTATTCAATTTGATGACTCAACTGGAAAATTACTTTTTTCCTAATAAAATTTGCAAAATGACAACAGTGAATCAGTGTTGATTGGTCGCTCAGTGGGTACTAATTAATTAAGCCAGGTAAATTTAGGTCTGTGCTAATAACCTTGGGAGGGAAAAAAAATAGATCCATATACATGTTTTTGGAATTTTTTGTTTGTTTTTTTGTCTTGGATGAAGGGAACTCTCCTGTTTGCCTACTTTTCTTTCTATTTCCTAATTTCTCCCAGAAGAGAAATACAAGATACACAATAAGGCTGGCACTACAGATAAAAAGCAAGAGTTCTTTGTAACCTTGTTCAGGTCAACAGTAAAAGAAAAGACAGAATGATTTTTATTGTTTATAACTAACAGGGAGACCCTCCCTACTAGCTCATCCTCAGGGCAGGGTTGGTATAGATCACACAGCTGACAGCAAGAAACAACGGTTTATTCATCATGAGAGGCCCTTCTCACCTAGCAGCTCATTTAAACACTGACATTAGCCACTGGCTCTGCATCTGGCATGGGGGGCAGGGCATGCTGTCCCCCGGGGGCAGAGTCCACTATTGTTGAACTTTCCGATGGTGATAATTTATTTTCTCCGAGTCTGATAAAAAGTTAGTGAATCACAAAAATAAATGGCAGGCACGGTGGCCTCACAAGGAGAAGCCCAAGACGTCCACACAACACACAACACGAAGGAGCCAGTGACCGTCCCAGTGTTCCCAGAAGGAAGTAGGGGGGGGGGTTCTACGAAACAGGGGACGTTCAATAACAGAATGCATTGGCTTGGGATAGTTTTCACCAAGTTATATTCTCACGTGAATGGTCAAGGATAAGGGCTACTGTTCCCTATAAGGAAGAATTTCCTAACAGAACTAATGAGTGAGTAGGTGGCGTCTTCAGCCAGAAGCATGTCTGTGGTGGGCTCTCCTTTTTCGGGGAAAGGGCGCTTCCTCTAGGGGTCCCACAGCCCTCCGTTTTGAGTGTCTTTGCAAATAATGCTGGAATGAGGTTTAAAGAGTGGTTGCTTACACTTAAGAGAGGGAGGGAGGGGGCCTCAAATTGCAAGAAACTAAAGGTCTTTTGAACACAAGCCCATCGGACTTACTCTTAGGTGTTGTACCTTTGGGTCCACCATAAGCTTAGGAAACCTGGACAGCGCACAGGCCGAGGAAGTCTAGAACCAATCCGCTGTCCCCCATGGTCACCGAGTAAAGCTGCAAGGGACCAAGAGCCGCTGTTTATAACTCCTTCTATTTCCCACCTGCCGATTCGTGTAGATGTGGAAGCAAAAAAAAAAAAAATAACAGTTGGGAATAGTTTTGCTGAGGTGACAGGGTCTCACCCCTTATAAGGAACAAAAATGTGTGAAAAGAAGAAAAAAGTTCACTGATTCAGCAGCTAAAAAATTTCCAACAATCTGGATCTGATCTTAAAAAAGGCGAGGCACGAGGGATGCAATTAGGATACATTCTCTTGGTGAGAAAAGTGTTGGACCAGTTTATTTTCGAACCCTAGCGGCTTCGAAATGCGCCTTGCTGACAGTCCTAGTGGCACATGCCCTGCCTGAGCAGAGTGATCTTAGCGACCCAGTGATAGGAAGACATCAGGCGGAGGTGTTACCTGCTTTCCAGTGGTACATTACTGCCAAGGACCCAGCTGTCCTGCAGCTGGACGGACTCGGGTGTGGTTTGCAGCTCGGCGGGCAAAGCAGCCGGCGGGGCCGGACTCTGGTTCCTTCTATTGGTCAGGGAGTTTCTATTTAGAGAAGTGACGGATGGGTGGTGCTGGGCGGGGTGCTGCTTGTGAGAAGGCGGCAAAGGCTGCAGGGTGGCTTGCCCTTGACTGTTGGCAGGTTGCTCTGCGGAAGAAGAGAAACAAAGGGAAACTCGTTACACACTTCCGCGTGTGCGTGCGCGCGTGTGAGCGCGCACACTGCGCTCTTCTGGCAGAGCCGCTGTCGTTAAATCAGAAATAAAAACTGCACAGAAATCCACAACCTAACGCATTTGCATATTATTCTATTAAACCAGTGCTCAGTGACATTCTCAAAGACCAACTTTACCCTTGATACGCAAAGTTCTAATTAATATACAACAGATGGCAAAATTGCTTTTGGTTTTAATTTGTTTCAGATTTTTTTTTTCATCTGGTTTTATTAACACCTACAGAAAACAACATCTGACAGCTCCCTTAATGTGCCTTTAGATTTCAGCTTTTTTTTTTTTTTTCTCTTTTTTAACAAACCAAGCCTGAAATTAAATGGGTGATTTTGGAGGAACACAAAGGTTTTCGAAACGCATATAATCCCCGTAATTATTTAATGGAGTTTTTTTAAGCTTTATTTAACTGCAATAAATTATTGCAAGCTAGCTGCGAAACAGCGGTAGACTGCTCTAGTTTGGTGCATCTCAAACAAGGCGGCTCTGCGCTCTGATCCACTAATAGCGCTAAGCATCCTGTAGCAGAAGGTCACTCCGAGAAGCAGATGTTGTTTCATGGATACTTAACAGCCTGAATCACATCTGATTACAACGTCAGAAGACTCATATACTTAATGACCGTTACGTCCATTAGAACACACACAGAACAGATTTTCCAATTTCATAGCATGCAGTATAACCACAGTTTTTGGAGGGGTGGGGAATTGAGTCGTAGGTGGCCAGAGCGATTCCTGCCATTTGATCAGTGGCATAGTTTGTTCCAAACCAGAATATTATGAGGTTCAGCGATTTCAAAATACCAACACAGTACTGTATTGTAACTCTGGGATAATTCTCCAGGGCTAGTAAATCATCAGTTAAAAATCCCAAGTCACTCTGACATCTGAGATCTACTTTGCATGACTTAGCTTTGGACACATACATTACTGAATTGACAAATACAGGATTTTACCAGAGAGGTGACTCCTTCCTTTAATGTCAACCTCATCATCTTCCCCCACACATAAGATGCCTAGTTTTTTATTAAATATAGTTCAAAATGCAATATAATTTTAAAGTGTCTTGTTAAATCATGCTATTAATATAAATGCCTGTATTAAAAGAGAATGGGAAACATAGCGACTATCTTTCATAGACTGCGTGAAATCCAGCAGTCATTATTAAGGTAAATAACACAGTCACATACTATAATTCTGGTTGCATAAAACGAATACACGATATATAAAAGGGTGACTAGACTATCAGACCTCTTTAGCAGATAAGCAATAAAAATAAGCTCCTCCCACAGCATATAGCACCAGGGAATCTTATGTGTTTCTAACAGTGTCTGATAGTCCCTATCATGTGACTTAATAAGCAACAACTTCTCACTCCGGAAATGAAAAGCATAGATAATACTTAAATGCATGAATACAGAGTGAATTCTTCGTACAACCTCCATTCCTGAAGTTTCCCCACACTAGAAACCTCCAATATGTTCCCTCACTTAGTGCCTTGGTGATCAGGACAAATGAAGGTCTAAGTCTCGCTTAAAATGAAATACGCTTTTGAAGGATTATCAGGGCAAAAACGGAACAGAGTTGAAACTTGTTCACAACACAAAGCTTTAACAGTTTAAACCCCATGGAAGATTCATTATTCAGGTCTCATGTAATTAATTAGAGCTGTCTTCCTCAGCTCTGGTGCACACGCTTAGAGTCTCCACAGAAAACTGTAAGGGATGTTTATAAAGCTGCTCCTGGTATGCCATGGCATGCGGCAGCTGGGAGGGCATCGAGTGAAAACAGAGAAAGAGAGGCAGAAGAAGCTTCAAGGAAAGGGCGACGAGATTCTGCTTAGAAAAAAGACAGCATCTTCAACAAACGGTGCTGGACTAACTGGATGTCTACATGCAGAAAAATGCAAATAGATCCATACTTATCGTCCTGCACAAAACTAAACTCCAAGTGGATCAAAGACCTCAACATCACTAAATTGGTTGGAAGAAAAAGTGGGTAAGAGCCTAGAATTCATTGGCACAGGAGACAACTTTTTGAACAGAACACCAACAGCACAAGCTCTAAGAGCAACAATAAATAAATGGGACCTCATGAAACTGAAAAGCTTCGGTAAAGCAAAGGACATTGTTGTCAGAACAAAATGACAGCCTACAGATTGGGAAAGAATCTTCACCAACCCTTTATCTGACAGAGGGCTAATATCCAGCATATATAAAGAACTCAAGAAGTTAAAAAGCAACAAATCAAACTCAAGAAGTTAAAAAGCAACAAATCAAGTAATGCAATTAAAAAATGGGGTACAAAGCTAAATAGAGAATTCTGTGTAGAGGAATATCGAATGGCAAAGAAATACTTAAAGAAATGCTCAACCTCATTAGCCATCAGGGAGCTGCAAATCAAAACAACCCTAAGATTTCACCTTACACCCATCAGAATGGCTAAGATCAAAAACTCAAGTGACAAACACATGCTGGAGAGGATGTGGAGAAAGGGGAACACTCCTCCATTGCTGGTGGCAATGTAAACTTGTACAACCACATTGGAAATCAATCTGGAGCTTTCTCAGAAAATTAGGATTAGTGTTTCCTCAAGATGCAGCTACACCACTCCTAGGCATATATCCAAAAGATGCTCAAGTACATAACAAGGACATTTGCTCAACCATGTTCATATCAGCTTTATTTGTAATAGCCAGAATCTGGAAACAACCTAGATGTCCCTCAACTGAGAAATGGATACAGAAAGTGTGGTACATTTACACAATGGAATACTACTTAACACTTAAAAACAAGGCAATCATGAAATGTGCAGGCAAATGGTGGGATCTAGAAAATATCATCATGAGTGAGGTATCCCAGAAGCAGAAAGACACATGGTATATACTCATTTATAAGTGGATACTAGACCTATGAGATAGGATAAACATACTAAAATCTGTACATCTAAAGAAGATAAGCAAGAAGGAGGACCCTGTGTAAGATGATCAATTCTCACTCAGAAAGACATATGGATTGGACATTGGAAGAGGAAGAAAACAGGACAGAAGCCTACCACAGGGGGTATCTGAAAGACTCAGCCCAGCAGTGTGTAAAAGCAGATGCTGAGACTCATAGCCAAACTTTGGGCAGAGTGCAAAAAATCTTATGAAAGAAGGGAGAGATAGTAAGACCTGGAGAGGACAGGAGCTCCACAAGGAGAGCAACAGAATCCCTGGGCACAGGAGTCTTCTCTGAAACTGATACTCTAACCAAGGACTGTTCATGGATATAAGCTAGAAGTTCTGCTCAGATGTAGCCCATGGCAGCTCAGTCTCCAAATGGGTATCCTAGTAAGGGGAACAGGGACTGTCTCTGACATGAACTCAGTGGCTGGCTCTTTGATCCGGCTCCCCCCACCCCCAGGGAGGAGCATCCTTGCCAGGCCACAGAGGAGGACAATGCAGCCAGTCCTGATGAGACCTGATAAACTAGGGTCAGATTGAAGGGGAGGAGGACCTCCCCTATCAGTGGACTTGGAGAGGGGCATAGGAGGAGAAGAAGGAGAGTGGGTGGGACTGGGAGGGCATGAGGGAGGAGGGTACAGCTGGGATACAAAGTGAATAAACTGTAATTAATATAAAAAATAAAAGTTAAAAAAAGATTTTGCCTAGAAGGCAGGAGGGGCCAGACGACTGTGTTTTTTAGCTTGGTATCTTCCAAGAATGGTACTGCGCTTTACACACGTTTCCCAACAAGTGCTGCTATACTGTCCAAGGGAAACAGAGGCATCTAAGAGCTCGAAGAAGAAATTTAATCCTCTGTGAGGAGCGACCATGGAGCCCTCTAATGTACGACCTCAGGACAACTCCAAGGACTCAATAAAATCTACTCAATTGCCCATTTACTCCTACATTTGGCCATTCATCCTACAAACTACGCTCTGTGTTACAGGGATATGCTGGGCCGGTGCCAAGTGAACTCACTGTATCAATAGTGAAACAAAACGTACAGATGTGAAGATTGCTATTAAACGCTAAATAAATTTAAGATCCCCGATAGGTAGCTGAATATGTTAGTTCGGGATTCTTCTTAAAACAAATCAAATCCTAACCACTACGGAGAACTCCCATTAAAGGTTTCAGAAGGTGATGCTACAAATTACCCTGGCTTTCAGCTGCTTGATTTATACACATTTACTGAAAAGACCTGCCACGCATCATGCAAAACACCAATACTTCCTCTGGCCTATGCATCTGTGTCAGAAGTACCTTACTGCTGTTGGAACGGCTTTTCATTTGGCTACACAGTCAAGAAGAGGTCTATGAGGCAAGCATGTCCAGATGTAGAAGGACCTGATCTCTACAAACTTGGATGGAAAAGCTGGAGTGCAATAGCGAGGTTTAAATTCTACAGCATATCATGGAGAGGAGCAACAGCCACGAGCTGAGAATTCATACCACTTCTCAAGAGTTGAGGAAATGGGACATAGCTGGAGTGGATATCTATCTCCACCAATTGATGCAACATGGGCGAGTATCTAGATCCCAGCAAGATGAGATAAAACCAAACTCAGCTAGAAAACACGGCGAAATAAAAGAACAGAATTGGAGTAGATAAAGATAAAGATAGAGTGAGGGCTGCATGGCTCTCTACGCTTTCAAAGTGGCATAAAAATCTGGCTGTCAATATTCCAGCTACCAACACAAAGAATAAATACGACCAGTTTCATGACTTGGAATAGTTTAAAAAAAAAAAAAACAAAATATTTGCCTAAAACAAACATAAGTATGGCTCAAACTGAGAACAGAGAGAATTCTTTTTGGAGTCTGTGAAAAATCACTGTATTTCATCCAGGGAAACATTTAGGTCCAAGGTTCAAATATGGACAGAAAGCAATCGAGAGCAGCATCTAGATTTGGAGGTTATTACGATGCCGCAAAA